GTGTGTGTGTGTGTGTGTGTGTGTGTGTGTGTGTGTGTGTGTGTGTGTGGTGGGGTGGGGGTTAGAAAATGTAATTTAGAAAAAAAAAAATATTGGGTGTGACCAGGTTTCGTGCGCAGATTGTTTCTCACCTTAGGGGCACAGACTAATCCATAATTAAAAAGGTTATGTCTGCTAATCTAAGGCCGTGTTTTGGCTCAAAGAACATTGCAGATGGATTARGTGATATAACACAGGTATGAGTTTCCCAAGCAACTGAAAATAAAACCTCAATCAATTCAGAAACAAAAAGGCCTTTAAAGAAGGACTGTTGTGAGAACAAACAAACAAAAAGGTAGTGGAGTCATTAAATGAACAGCGTTACTAAAACACACACAGGTTTGGGTCAAAAGATATTTGCAGGTTAGCTCAATTTGACAGGTGGGAACAAGTTCAACAAGTTAAAGTAATAATGTAATATGCTGTCGCTAGGCGATTATCATTTATAAAAACAAAGAGAAAGAAATAAGCACGCAAGTTGTGCTGACCTTCCTCATGCACGCTTCTCCYGCTTCTTGCAGTTCATTGTTGGTGGAGTTAAGAGCTTTAAACAAAGCAGCAATGATCTTCTCTCTGGACTGTGGCAAGTAGTTACAGGCTGCCAGGGCATCTGAGTGAGGAAACGACACTAGGATTCAATGTTTTCACTCTGAATGTCCATTTTCAAAGGGAAAATGTAAAGCAAAACAAGTTAACAAAACTTAGGCTACGTTCACACAGTGAACGTAACCTCAAAACTGACCAACGTCTAACTTTTTATTAARGGTGCACTGATAAATCAGCACTGATTTCCTTAATTTGGAAAAATCGGCTGATACTTGGTGGCAAAGACCTGCTTCTCATCTCTACCTCCACAAGGGTCTGAAAATCARCCAGTGCTTAATGTCCAGTTAAAACAAGTTTGTACTGTTTCAAGGGTATTACGGTTTTCAATAAAATAATATTGGAACACTGAAGATGTATTGTGACCTTATAACATATGACAGTGTCATATATTTAAAAAAAATCTGTATCAGCCAAAATCAGAATCAGCAGATCAGACTTTTTAATGATCGTGATCGGTGATTGGGCAGAAAACTGCAATCAGTGCACCCCTAATTTTTTTGTTCATGTGACACAAATCAGGGTTTTTTTTTGTTTTGTTTTGTTTTATTGGTTGTTTTTAGAAATGATGAAATTTGACCTTTTCAAATCAAACCCAGGTCTTTTCATTTGTGGTCATATGAATTTTACATCATTGAGGTTAGGGTATAGGATACCATATTACCACCATGTCTTCAAAACCTGTATCGATCCAGATTTTGATATTATTGATATCAATGTCATGCAGTTTAAAGCATTTTCAGCTAGAAAAGTCCAGACGTTAATTTATCTTTTTTTTTTACTTTCTTGATTTGTTATGGCCTGGATAACTGAGAATTTACACCAACATATGACAACATGATGCTCTTACACGCATTTTCTTTTACACAATAACCATTAAGTTTTTTAACTAGGAAAACAGAAACCAACAGTAATACTGCAATAAAGAAAAAGTCATAATATATAGTTGGGACTACTTACTGAGGGCAGCAATACGAAGGGGAACCAGGGAGGGAAGGCTCTTATAACATGGCAATTTTGTCAAAGCAGCATCTTCTGCTTCACACAGGTTCAAGAGCTAAACAGAGTAGAAAAAATAAACACAAGAAAAAAACAAATATTTTATCTATTATAGTACATTTAAATTTATACCTTATAAAGTTGCCCAATATGAAGACAGGAACTAAGTTCATGTTTGTGCTGGTACAAAATACAACACATTACAACATTTTTGTCAAAGCATCCCTTAAAGGGATCCCTGATTAATTGTAACATTAGACTTTATTTGATAAACATATATTTTAACTGTAAAATAAAGACTGTAAAAATACTGTAGGCTGTTTAGTTTTGTAAATTTTTTAATATATATTTTAACACTGAGCCATTTTATTTACACACAAAGCATTCTGGATAAATGATGATGTGGATAGGTCCTCGGTTTGCGTGAGCTATATCCACCCTGAAGGTTAATCTTGGACAATATCTGATGATCGACTCTTTTAAATGAAACCAGAGAGCGTTGACAGAGAGAAGGTAGAAATGACTCAGCCTGTAACTGAAAATATGGATGGAGGACAACAGAGCTGCTTCATGGAAGAAGAACCTCAGATTAGCCTGTTAGCTTTAGCGTTAGCCCAGATGCTATATTGCCTTGTATGTATTAGCTCAGCGCTAGCGTGACAAACAAGCTAAACTGAGGTCCTCCATCCATATTTTCAGTTGCAGCCTGAGTCATTTTTGTGTTCCTCTCTCTGTTATGTGGATGGAGGACCTCAGTGACGAGAGGAGAATGTGTAGCGCTGAGCTAACACATATATATGGTGATAGCATTGGGGTTAATGCTAAAGCTAACAGAATAAGCTGAGGTTCTTCTTCCATGAAGCAGCTCTGTTGTCCTCCATCCATATTTTCAGTTACAGGCTGAGTCATTTCTACCTTCTCCTCTCTGTCAACGCTCTCTGGTTTCATTTAAAAGAGTCGATCATCAGATATTGTCCAAGATTAACCTTCAGGGTGGATATAGCTCGCTAGCAGCCTCGCACCGAGGACCTATCCACATCATCATTTACCCAGAATGCTTTGCATGTAAATAAAATGGCTCTGTCCATTTAATATATTTTTTAACTTTTAKTTTAAAAATGATCAAAACTAAACAGGCTACAGTATTTTTACAGTCTTTATTTTACAGTTAAAATATATGTTTATTAAATAAAGTCTAATATTACAACTAATCGGGGATCCTTTAAAAGTGTCAAGGTTTCATACCTCTGTGTAGAAGACCTTGTGCTCTATAACATTCAGGTCCATTGTGAAGAGGCGGGGCTGCAGAGTGGTGCAGAAGGTGTTTCCCTCCATCAGACCGATTTGAGCGTTCGCAGGCTGATGACGCAGCAGGTGCTTCTTAGGAGGAACCATATCCTGCAAAACCTGAAGAGAACTTTGGCTGTTTAAAGGACTGTCTTCACCCCAGATAATCAATAGTCAGATTCGACAGAGAAATAATAATTAAAAGCAAATCAGCTGGACCAGCTGTGTTACATACAAGTTACTTAAAACTAGTTGTGACGGTTTTATCATTTCACCTCTTTGTGTGGTTCCATGATGACTGTGACGCTCTTTCCAGTGACTTGTGCTAGAACCTGCAGGGAGTGCATGGCCTGTTTTCTGACAGTGGAGTTAGGGGAGGTGACTTCTCGGACGAGGTCGTGTGTAACCATGTGGAAAGATTTGTCCTGGGCAGCCAGCAGCTCTTCTGTCTTTTCTTCATCTTTTAATGGAGTGGCACAGCGCACCAGCAACTGCTCTAAGGTGGTCTTTGCCATGGCTACGGCCCCATTCGACACCTGTGTGAAAATCGATGAGGTAATAAATATAGCGTGTTAACAGTAAGGGCACAACGATATGAAAGCAGAAAGCTGTTAAAGCTCTCCTGCTGCAAGAGGGAATGGACAAAAGATGGAAGCAGAAAAACCTATGCAAAAATATAGCTAAATACCAGATGACACAAGCCCACCTCTCCTGTGAGGTCCATCATGACAAAGAGCAGGGCTTTGAGGAAAGTGAGCTGGTTCTGTAGCACCCAGATCAAAGGCAGTCTTTCCATCAGAAACTTGATGGACACCACACCCCCGAGTTTGGCGTACCAGGCCTGCTCATAGCAGCAGGCACACAGACGCTCAACAATGTAGGAGAACAAGGGCAGCTGGCACGCCTGGGGGTGCAAAACCAAGAGTGATTAAGAGCGAATCTCATACGAACATAAAAATAAATGTGTTAAACTAAATATAAAATGAACATGATCAAGGTTGTTGAAGAGTGTTTGCTAAGGGTTGATGTAATAAATAAAAAAACTTACCCTCTCCTTGGAGCCGAGGATGATGCTGGCCACGTCAAAGATGACAGCCAGAGCCACTTCTCCAATCTTACACAGCTCCTTCTCCTCGTAGGCCATGCAGATAGCGATGGCGTCGATAAGTACCAGTGGATCCATGCCCTTCGAACCGTTCTCCTCACTGTGGAACATGGCTGTGCTCGGCTGGCTGCCCAGCTGGTAACACGGCAGCAGGAACGGGCCTGGAAAACGGAGGCAAAAAAAAGGTATTTTCTTTCACACAAAGGTTTTAAAAGCTTGTTCCTGTATGTAAAAGCAACACATTTACTAAGCGTTTGCATTTAATTTGATCTTTTACTGGCTAAATGTAAAAGTAAAACATAAAGAATAAACCAGATCTGCATTGTAGTGAAAATAATATGAGTTCTGTTATGTGCAGCTGAGAATTAGAACTATTGTTTTACAGCAGGGATGTCCAAAGTGTGGCCCGGGGGCCATTTGTGGCCCCTGAACTGATTTTGTGTGGCCCCTGACTTCAGTTCAAGAATTATATTAATTTGTTTACAAATTAGTCCCCCCAGCACAAGTGTTTGATGGAGACTTTCTATTTATTATTAGGGCAAATTTATGACAAAGCAAAATCTTATAATAAAAATTTTTTGGCAACAATACCAATTACTTGTCTTTAAATAAACAGACTCTCAGCTTCTTCCACATCGATCTGGTGACTTCTACTCTAAAGCTGATTTTGCTGCACTCCAATCTGCTTTTAATTAATTTATTAAATTCGTCTGAATACAGCAAACATTTTCAACTRAAGAGTGACCTAAATCCTGATTTTATTGATCAGAATTGACTAAATTGGGTTATTTTTCCCCCAACTGAAACCTAGAAAATTGCAAAATTTCTTTCAATAAGAGAAACCCGCAAAACACTTAAAGTTCTGGATCTAGATTAATTTATGCATCCATTTCCAGCAATAAATCTGACTACTTTATTTGTTTAAATAAAGTWTTCAATGCTTAGTTTGTTGTTGAGCAGGTAAAAGACAAATATTTTTGGCCCTCAAGTCCCTCTGACGTAACGATTTTGGCCCATGTGACAAAATGTTCGGACACCYCTGCTTTACAGAATGCTAATATTAGACCAGCAAACTAATGAGAGAGCACTTCCTCACCACACTGTTGAGCCACAGCGACCATGGTATAGTGCCGAATCAGACTGGCCACAAAGGGCAGCGCGCTGGGCCTCAGGTCCTTTATCACAGCAGACATGAACGCCCCCGTCAGTGCCTGTTCAAATGTTCTGCGAGCAGGTGTGTCTTGCGCCTTGTAGCGGTGCGAGATGATGACGTTAGGAATCCACTTCTCCGTAAAGCTAATGGGAAGAAAACGGCAGCATGAATGAGATGCTCACCTTCAATATCAATAAAAAAATGTATTATAGTGGCSGTATTAGTGTTTGCTGAAGTAAACAATTATTTTAAAATACCATAAGCTTGTGTAAGACTTCAGTCTATTGCTTTTACAGCAGTTGAAGGGAGCTGGACCGCGGTGCGATCGAGCAGCTGTTCGCTCCGTGCTTGAGCTCGTGTTTTATAATGCTGCTGCACGCCACAGGCAGAACTGATGGATCGCTTCATTTTATTAGTYCAATTTTTGCTTTACACTGCTCTTCAAAAGAGAGAGCTAAAATGATGAGAGGTGGGCTGTTCGTGGTGGGTGGTACAGCTGGCAGAATTTCAGATTAATTTCTCTCTATATCATTTCACCCATTGAAACATTTCTCTGTTCAGCTCAGGTGGCCCGAGTGGTCAGCTCTGACCGACGGTGCTCACACCTGGCTGGTTAATGTGTACCCCCAAAACTGTTCTGCATTCAGGAGTCATTTACCCACTCTACAGTACCTAACTATGTCAGAGCAAATCGGAAAAACATTTATCCCATAAAACTCCACAATGCACGGTGTTCAACTAAGTCATTATAATGCAATAAATGCTGCTCAGTTCTGTTGGACACAACACATTCTAGTGACCACAGTGGGTCCAAACAGCCCTTAAAGCACTCAGACCAAACGTTTAACGGAAGAAGCCWACACCACTTCCTGTAATCTACTCTGATGAATAAAATCACAACAAATCAGTCATTTACATAAACTAGGAAGGATTCAGACAACAGTTACATTAAAACRTCTGCTTAAGGATGGCTGTTTAACTATAGCATAACTCAACCCCCAAGAGGTGCACTCTGCTGCTTGTGTGTGGTCACATCAGAGTAGAGCTGCCACAAACGATTATTTTTATAGTYGATTAATCATCGATTATTTTTTCGATTAGTCGACTAATCAGATCATACATTAATTGAATATAAAACATAGAGCTTATCATGCCAGAAWGCAGCTGCTATTATATAACCATCATGGGATTTTAGCTATATGCTAACTAAAAATAATTGCTGTGGAAGGCAAGCTCTGYCTTGCAGATATTACACAGGTTTCTCTTTCATTTTCTTAAAATGATCCCACACTTTTGAGCTCCGTTGCTGGGTAGCCATGATACCAGAGCCTGTCTGTATAATGTCTTGTGACGTCCACGGCCTACCCCAGTTACCACTACTGTGCATGTGTGTCAAGGACAGAAAGGCAGATGTGGCAGTGGAAAGTGTCAAAGCAGTTTGGAGAGAAAAACAAAGTAAAGAAAAAAAATCGATTATTAAATTAGTCATCGATTATTTTAATAATCAATTAGTCGTCGATTAATCGACTAATTGTGGCAGCCCTACATCAGAGCAGTAGGAGGTCCTACAGCTTGTGTCAGGACAACCTGCAATCATTCTACGAAATGTTTGTGGCTAAAAGAGGTGCGGACCAACCCCAAAGGTGGTCTGATGAGAAATATTTCCAGTGCACAAAAATGCTGTTCAAATCTTTATTTATCATTATCTGAATGCAATCTAATAAAGAAACATTGAAGAAGCAGATGTGAACACCCCCTAACTTGCATTAAAACCTTACAAAAGGTGGAAACACATTTAGCTACTGGTCATCATAACTGGTAAGGACATGAAATCGATGACAGGAAGTCATGCATGTTGTGGTTTGGAGGAGGTCACAGAAAAGATTAAACAGATGGCGGACAAGGACAAATGCTGGTGCTAACTACAGCCTGAAATGTAGTATCCGTGTGTYACTTTCGCACTGTAACGAAAATGTCAGTTTTCTAAATATATAAGTGCAATAAAAACCACAGTATGAAGGCATATGGCAATCAACTCCAGAACGTTTACTCACTTAGGATGAGACAGAAGCTGGTAGAGAGCGTGTTTATTGTCGTCCAGACTTGTCATGGCCACCAGGAAACACTTAATGACCTCCCAGGCCTGCCGTCTGTAGTAGGGCTCTGTGTTGGCGCTCTTCAGACAGTCGAGAGCCGTCTCGATTGCCTTAGGAGAGACAGAACGAACAAAATTGACGACGTTTACTTTAAATATTTTCGTCTGAACGGATATTTATCGGACGTAAAACGCCAATACAGCTAAATTATTCCTATGGGAAACAAACAGCATATTCTATATGTGTGATTAACTGCGAGAGGAAACACTGAGCACCATCTGGACGAGTAAAGGTCATTATCTTTTCTACATTATGAGCTGTCAAGCCGCAGCGGCCAGGCACTTAAAAGGGAGAAAATGAACTAATTATTGCCACTCAGAACGGAGAAGGACGAGGAGGAATCCAAGAACTGAGAGGGGAGATGAGGGCTCASCGTAATTGAATTGCAAACCATTCGGTGAATTAGGACATTTCTGTCAGGATTCCGAATCCGACTCGTGAACGAGAACTAACAAACGAATATTTATTTATAAGCTCAAACATATTTTAAAATCAATGTCAGTACAGAAACACAGCTGAGCTTTTTATGCTTGTAGAAGTGTGAATTTATCAAAAAATAAATAAAAACAATGCTCAATAAAAATAAAATGATGACCCCCAAAAGCAAAACAAATAATAATTTAAAAAATATAAAATAAAATGGTGATATTATTTGATCCGTTCATTAACTTGCAGCCCTTTAAAGCTGTTTCCTTAATGTGCCAACTAACCATATGGCTGCTTCATACACCTAGAAACTCACGCCTACAGCCTGTGCGTGCATGTGTGCGTGTGTGCTCCCTACATGATGATGGCAAACACACAGACTGATAGCCAAGAAAGGAGAGCAGCCATTAGAGAGAGTAAATAATGCCGTCATGGTGGCCCGCAGTAGATTGATGATTACTGAGTAGGGATGAGGAGGAGAAACAAGACATGAATTTAATTACCTGGAGGACTCACAAATCTCCTCACTCACATTCACACACACACACACACACACACAAAAAAACCTGTGACAAAGATATATTGCTCTCAGTGGAGAACAATAATGAGGAATATCAAGCTCTTTTATGCTCAATTCCCTTTTTCTAGAACCCAAATGAAAAGGAAGGAAGGGGCAAARGGGCATTCAAACTGGTTTCAGACAGGACTCCTGTCACCATATTTATATCATCTCACCTTTTCCATGGGAAGTTGTATAGATGCTTTGCAGTCAGTGAATTCCACTTTAATGCTCGGCCCCTGGACCTCAGTCACCACGTAATGAAGTCTCTGAGACTCCTTCAGCATCTTTCTGTTGCTGCCTCCAAACTTTCCCAGCACCCGGTAAGCTACGTGGGAGATGCTTTCTGCTGGATTACGGAGAGTTCGCCACAAAGCCTTGAAACACAGGGTGGGAAAAAAGATATGGACTAAACTTTAGAGCCAAAATAAAATAACTGTACTGATAAGTGTAAAGCCTGACAGGAGACTCTTATTATTCTCCGAATTGTTAAAGCCATTTTCATTAATAGACAGTATCAGCACAAAGCTACAAAGGCTGGCTGGTAAATTAAGTTTGTTTTATAGATTATATAGATTGGTTTGGCAAATGTAAATTAGCATTYGCTGTTCTGCAGAGCTGTGATAAAGAGGCTTGGGAGTTAACCTAACTTAGTGATTTGTCTGCAGATACTGACGGCCCCTCTGATAGCGCCTAAAAGGCAGCTTTGCTGACTCATACGAAATTAATGAATTCAACAAGCCTGAAGGAGTTCTTCAGGGGATCTTCGATATACCTCGCAACTAAAAAACTTCACTATAAACCGAGAATTCATGAGCACACCGTAAGCTCCAACGGCCACTCCGTCAGCAGCTTCCCACCTGCATGAGCTCAGCCCTGACAGGCTGGATGTGGTCGTAGAGGAAGTCGGGCTGCAGGTTGTCCACGCACAGCTCCAGGGTGCGGAGGCCCTGGCTGACGAGAGTCTGGGAGCCGTTGAGCGCCGACACCAGGGGGTCCATCAGCATGGGTAAGTAGGGCAGCAAGGAGCTCAGACGCACCGGCACTGTCAAACACAACTCCACAAACAGGTCCTTCATGTGCTGCTTGTGGAGGCCACTTTGAAGCATGTTCAGACCTGAGACACACAACAGAAATGTGAACTTTAAAATTAAGATCAAGATTGCTTTAATGACAAATACACTGCAAAAACTGCCCATCTTGCAAAGTTTTAAAATCTTATATCCAGCCAAAAAGTCTTTTTAATCTTGTTTGAGACTGATTTATTAAACAAGAACTGATTGTGTAAGAATAATAATTTTGTTTTCAGAATGTGTAAGGTTATTTGTCTTGTTAGACTGAAAATTTGACTCAAATTAAGTCAAAAATTTCTGCCAATGGAGTAAGAAAATTTTACTTGGTAAGATTCTTGAAATAAGAAAAAATTGAGTCAAATCAAATATTTTAAGAATCTTACCAAGTAAAATTTTCTTACTCCATTGGCAGAAATTTTTGACTTAATGTGAGTCAAATTTTCAGACTAACAAGACAAATAATCTTACACATTCTGAAAACAAGATTATTATTCTWACACAATCAGTTCTTGTTTAGTAAATCAGTCTCAAAACAAGATCAAAAAGACTTTTTGGCTGGATATAAGATTTTAAAACTTGGTAAGATGGACAGTGTTAGCGATGAGGCGTGAAACAGTTTGCTGCTTTTACATCTTGTGCAAAATTCTAGCAAAAAAAATCTGTGCTCTTTGTTCATCCTCGAGCTTTACATCCTCTTATTAATAATAGTAATGTTAATCCACAGTCACAATAAATGTAACGAACTATAAATCCCTAACTGTCAGRCACAACAGATTAATGACATGAGAAGTTGTACCTTGCAGTAGATTAGGGAGAAGAGGTAAAAACTCCTGGTAGAGGAGGTCGTGGCTGCCTCCACCAATGGAGCGGAAGAGAGCCCGGAGAAGCAGGAAGTAGTTGTAGGGCTCTTTTGCAGACTGCGCCAGCTCCATGGAGCTGTTCACTATCTTGTGGAGGTGTGGCTGAGTAAGAAAAATAAATAATAATAGCAATAACAGTGTTTTAGAGGTGTTTTCATTTATTAATTGTGAAACAAAAAATGTTAAGTTACCTTCAGCATCTGCTCGTTCTCGGCAGCAAACAACGACACTGAGCCAAAGACAAGTTTGAAGAGTTTGAGGTAGAGGTTTGACAGCTCAACATTGGAGCCCATCTCTGGCAGCCGTTCAAGAAGATACTCGACCAAGATGGTAGCAAACAGAGCTGATGTTGAGAGGTTGGCCAGGAAGGAGTTTGCCACAATCTAGCACAAGAAAAAAWATATATATTGTGCATTATTATGCATCTACATTCTTATTTAAGAGAAAAAAWATCCATTTTTATTCACAAACATGCTTTTATTATTCACCTGCAATGCATAGTTCTTGGAAATCCTCTCCACCATGTATGGCACAGTTGTCTGGAAAATCTCCTTGAAGGTTAGCGGGTTCATCATGGTGAAGACCCCAGCGAAATGCTCCAGAACTTCTTTCTCCTCCTTCATGCGTACCGTCTGGCAGTTGGCCACTCTGATGTACGTCTGCTGGTTATTAGCAACTTGAACCTTTTAGTAATAAATAAATTAATGCATTTGCACTTTTAGTATTCTTGAAAAAAATAGATTCAAAGTATGCAGTTGTTTTGATTTTGTGTTCTCACCTGGTAGATGTCCAAGGCCTGCATGGCGTATTTGACCAGTTTAATGTAGATTTGAGTCTCTTTTGGCTGGAGTTGCTTGTTAGGAATGAACTGAGCCTCTGAAAAACATCATAATAAACAGAAGGTAATAAATCAGTGTATTCAAACACAATCTCATTAATGCACCAWGAAACGCATTCGAACGTTAACATTTTAAAGGTGTTTTAGTGGCAAATATTCTGATTTCTAACAYTAAACAAACTGATTTCCCTCACCTCCAGGAGCTTTGCAGGAGGTGATCCCCCACGTGATGGTCTTCACTCCGCACACCAAAGTCTTGACCAAGCTGCGACAGTCCGACACCTGAAACGTCTGTTTGTCTTCTTTGTCTCCGGGTCGATCGAAGGGCGTCGCTGGTGCGGGAGGCGGAGCTGCAACGGGCGTCGGGGGAGCGGGTGGTGGAAGGGCAGGGGTGGTGGAAGGTGTGGGTGTGGCGGGGACCCCGGGTAAAACCCCTGGGTCAACCACACCCATCTCCGACTGAGGCTTGCATTTTTTAAAGATCGAGACAAGCTGGTAGCGCGCAATCGTGTGAAACTTCAACACAAACACCTAATTTAAAAAAAGAAAGAAAAAAAATGAAAAATCAACATTTTTCGTCAAGATCTTTGTAAAAATGTTTGTTACAGTTACCTCCAGCATCCTCATCAGAATGTCCCGTCCGTTCCCGTTCTCCTGCTCCGACTTGGAGCGGATACAGTCCACCAGGTTGAGAAGCAGCTTGCAGGACATGGTCTGGATGTTACTGGGAAGCGACTCGTCATCGATGTTCTTAGCAAAGAGCTGCACAGCTAGAGATAAATCGGTCAGGGGCAAGTTCTGGCGAACATGGTGAACCAGATCTGCCAGCGTGCTGTAGGCCAGGGGTCTGGAAAGACAGATGTAGTTGGAAAAACTTGGAAGGAAAAAATACAACATGGTTGCAGAATAATGGTGAAAAATCTACAAGATTCAGGGAGTGGAAAGACTTTGTCCTAAAGGCAGAAAAAGTAGAAATCAATGCGGGTGTAGTTTTACAGAACGTAAGGGAGAAAGGGGGGGGGGGGGGGTTGAGTTAATAAGAGGCAGAGATAGTCCTGCCAGGTTTCATCCAACTGCCTTGTTTCCTGCATTGTTCTAATGGGAAACGACAGCTATTTTGTTGATGAGGTGAGCTGTTCWGGCAACTGGGAAGGGGTCAAGGTGGTTTTAAAATCAAACTAAGAGAGGACGTGYGAGCAGGCGGCCTGCCTCTGCGGAGATCAGAGCTCGACAGCGCAATCTGTCCTGAAGTGTTACGATCAGCTTTCCTGACGATTTCTCCAACAGATTAACATGATGGGACATTTAACGCTGCACACCTCTGGTTGAGAAATCAACAAAGACAATACGCCTATGCCGACTTCATGCGGTTCAAAGGATTGTGAGCTGTTGAGAAATTACCTGAGCGTCTCTCGAGCAGTGTAACCAGAGCCGATCAGAATRGATTCATCAAAAAGTTTGTCCATACAGGGGATAAACTCTGAAAGAGAGCAATAAAATGTAAATGWTAAATCTAAAATATCAGGAGAAAACATTTTTGGATGAAAGAAGAAAAAAAAGTCACAAGAGTAAAATATTTAACATCATGGCAGCAACAATGTTTATATCATGGCAACATTATAAACATAACAGTTGTATTATCGTTGCAGTTTGTTATTAATATATTCATCCCCTTCAGTTTTCCACTTATTACAGATGTAAGGTGTCAGTACTGGCCTGAAACAGAGACTAGACATGGAAAGAGCTCTGCATTAAAGACTCACTGTACAGCACCCAACATAAAAACAACAACTGACTTTTGCCTGTTTTAAAGTTCCAGTTTTTATTAAATCAGTTTAAAGGACACTTATCATGCTTTTAAATTCTTCTTTTTCAGATTTAAATCATTCACTTAAGAGTCTGTATAAAGTGGAGCAGCAAGGCTTTGGTCTGAATTCCTCCTTACTGTAACTCCACAAGCCCCTCCTTCACCTCTGTTCTGAGCTGTGCCTCAGATCAACTCGTTTTGGGACTGTCTCTTTAAATCCAAAACAAAGCGCTTCATACCCCGCCCCCCTGTAGCTTCTAGACCGGTCCATGCCAATTTGATACAGGGGTTTACGACTATAGCGACGCAGAAACTTTTTATTTAAAATTTAATTAAAAGATGTCAGTTCTGTCACAAATAATTTTAAGTAATAGTTCAGAAAACGTTATAGAAAATAAAGAAAGCTGAGCAGATTGATAAATATGACCTAAAAAGAATAAAGACATTTTTGCAGTACCGGAAGAGACAAAAGTTAACTTTTCTTCAATCCTAGAAAATCCAAGTTCATAATAAAGTGTATTTAACAGCTAAAAAAAGGGGATTTTGCATGATACAGTATAGTGCTGGGCGGTATACCAGTTCGTAACGAATACCRTTTTTAATTTTTGTTATGATATGGATTTTCTGAATATTGACATACCGGTTTAAAYAGCCTGAACACTTTTTGAACTTTTCGTCACGGCCACCAATGAACCGTTTCCTGGGGGACACTTTCCGTCGCAGCACCGCTACGCGCATTAGCATGCTAAATTTATTGTTGGAGTAACTGTGGTTATTCTGCTGCTTATATCGACTGACGTTAAAAAAAACCTCCTGTTTTCACCATCGCTGAATGTAGTAAACAYCTCTTCAGTGACGTGCACGATTCGATTCAACGCGCAACATTAATATGGGAACATTATTGCATGGAGACTATATCGTGGTTCTATTGTGAAAAGCCCAGGGAAGTAGTTCTGTAGTGGAATTGAGTTGACTGGTGTGTAAGGTGAGTCATCCTTTTAAGCTTTATTAAATAACATAAAACAATACACCCAATCTCCGGCCTCAAACCCCCTCACCACCCCCTTCAGGACCGGACCAAAATGCGTGAAAGACATGTAGAGGAGGGAGACAGCGACACAGACAGAGGTACAGTACATTTTCAGGTACATTTTATTATCAGCTGAGGTGTGATGAAAAAAAYACCATGACATACCGTGAAACTGGTGTAAATGTTGAAAAACACCGTGATATAAAATTTGGGCCATGCCGCCCAGCACTAATACAGTATGTCCCCTTTAAATTAGAGAAGCTGAAAAATTCACTGTCTAATTATCCAAACTAAAAAAATAGCTTTCAGGACTTTAGTCACAAAACAGTTGAGCTTTTTTTTATATATATAATCTCACTTTGCAAGCCCAGGTTTCTACATACCCACAGTCTAACTTGTAACAAGTACAAGACTCATCACTTGTAGAAATGTAAAAACTTTCTGGCCAAAATCCAAGATGCAAATGTTCTGCCCAACAGGGTCAAATAAAGCAACAAATACTTTCTAAGTTTTGGGAGTTTTCATTTTAAAAAAATTTAAATAAAAATTAGATATAAAGAATAATTAAAGCAGCGTAAAACAGATTTTAAATTACTTCCTCATTATCATACGTCGTGCTAATTTACATGTATTTGTGTAAGAGTGTGTGTACGTACGGCTGCGCAGGTCAGTTGTGAGGATGTGCTTGGCGGCGATGAGCAGCTCCTTGCGGAGGTGAGCGGTCTCAGACGGGCAGTTGGAAAGAAGCTGCAGCATGCCTTTCACCAACTGCTGGGAGTATTTCCCTACCATGTCCTAACAAGGAGAAGAAACACACCAAACGTAACTCCATCTTTTATTTTCTTGCAGTTACTATGTTCTGGGGCCGGTGGTGGTCTTTAGGCAAAAACTGAAACGGTTTTTGTAAGAAAAACAGAAAATATGCAGAACGCCTTGGGAACAGTTCTTCTACCTGGACACAAGCCCCTAAAATATGTACAAAATATGGTTATTTTTATCAATTCAAATAAACCAGCTGTGAATCATTTACCTGGTAGATCCGGATGATGTAGGCCAGAAATGACAGAGTCTTGATTTGCGCAGCAATGAAGTCTGCATACAGCTCCTTGTTAAAGAGTTTGTGTTGCCTACAGAGGAAACAATTAAGATCCAAATAAACATTTTGTAGCCTGAGAGACAATAATGATGTTGGTAATTATGCTGTAAACCTGCAGTATTGGCAATTACAGCTGGTAAACTTGTGTGTATACACGTGGGAGTCAGTTCTACATAGGTGACACGTGGGTTTATGTCAGTTATTACTGGATGTAGAAGAACCCTTCTCGGAACTTGCCAGAAAACTGATCCAATATATTTTTCTAAATTAACTCTGCACCATTTCCTTCCTGTTCAAAATGCTTCACATTCCCCCCGCACCCCCTCCTCATCCTCATCCACCTACCCTGAGAGGCTTCACCTCCTGCTAAGCCAATTTTTGCTCTCCCAAATGGATTTTAACTCCAGCTTTAACAGGAAAAGTGCCAAGCAGCACCATCAACAAATTTAGTTAGAAAAAAAAAACAGAGGAAGAGTGAGGAGAACAAAAATAAAAATCAATCCTCTTTAACATGACCAAACCCATTTCAAAGCCTGTAAAAGTGAAAATKATTTTTTTTCCCTCCACCTCCAAAGAGGCTCTTCAACACTTCCTGAAACATGAGCATGCCCAGACACGTCGAGGTGTTTTACCTGGCCTGGGGAGACACCTGGAGCATGATGGTGTTCATGATGAGMGGCACAAACTCTGACACCACGTTGTGAATGTTCAGTTTATACAGCTGAAAGAACACGAGCTCAGGTTAGAAATACACACACTTTATTACAACTAAAGGAACTAATGCTTAAACATTTCATTGCATTTTACATATGTTAAATAATTCAAAGTACATATACTATAGCTTTAAGAAATATTGTCATCTAAACATGAATTATTTTAGTCTGTAAATTTTAACCTATAATAAAGAAGTGTGATTTAAGTTTACAGTCAAGTCTTTTCTTAATGCATTTTCCTTGTTAAAAAAGGTAGCCAACAAAAAGACCCTTTATTTATTATAATAGGATGCTAAAAGAGAATAATGTGTGAACGTGTAAGTGTGTGTGTACCTTTTTGTCTGTTAGAAACATATCTCATGAACCACTACAGATTTAAATGGTGCTCCTATAAAGTAATCCCTGGCTGTGCAGCTACAACTGGTTCATTTTTTGAGTCAACTATATTCAATAAGATTTCATAATTTTGAGATGTTGAGCGATTGACACCCACCYCCACAAAAACAAAACAAAGCAAAACAAATAAATATTTTTTAGGAACTAAGAAATTGGGTGAGATCTTTGTTTAAATTGTTGCCATTAACTACTTCAGTCAACTCTGTAAGCAAAATATCTGACRAACCACTGGACAAACGTCAGTGAAGATTATAGAGTCAAGATGGCCTACACAGAACTTCTCTAACACAAAATCTGAAATAATTTAGTCAATTTTACAGTCACTGTGCTCAAATGTGACAACACATATTCTGAACATGAGAAAATTAATGTTTGACAAAAACAATCACTCCATCGTTCCTCAGCATAAGATAAACGGTGGCGTGAAAGGCAGCAAGTGATAGGAATTCCTCCATGGAACAACAGGCCTTTGATTTGTTTTGTCTTCAGTGTGAACCATGTTTGGACGTGAAATGATGAGTCTAGAGCCGCTTCACTTACCTGATACATCAGCACAACGATGATGGGCAACTCAGCCAGAACCTTGAGCGACAACGACCCCCGAGGGATGATGGTGTGCTTGAGGCAGAAACAAAAAATAATAATAATAATGAGAACACTAAAAAAGGAACCTGCTGAACATAAAATTTGTTTTAGGAAACACAAAACTGCCATAAAAAGAAAAAATAAAAAACAAAATAAAGGCTGCTTTTCCTTTAGGCTTTTATATTTTTCCACACAGCATTTTTCAAGGTAACTGTGATTTTAATAAATGTGTATTTTACGTTGAGATAAGAGATGTTTAGTGTTATGCTTTTCTTTCCCACCGCTCAATGTTTATTATAAAAACAACCACGGTGTGTTTTTATGGATTTTATATTTGAATAACGGTAGAATCATTGTGTCATGTTTGTGTTTCAGAATGCTGCAGCACTGCCATCTAGTGGTTACAGACAGTATGCTGGTGGAGATTCTCAGTTATCCAGGTCGTGACCAATCAAAAAAAGTTATAAACAAAAACAACTGTGCTTTCAATTCTAAAGTTGAATATCTTTAGTTTCACATYCAGGAGGATTTTTCAATTCAAAGAATAAAAACTAGGGCTGAACGATTTTAGAAAATAATCTAATTACAATTTTTTGTCTATAAATTGTGATTTAATTTGCAATTTTTTAATGTCTTAAGTATTTTTCAACAAACAGAGGCAATAAATCAATCTGTTTTATAATAAACAAAGTAAGATTTATTTAAAGCACAGACTACAATAAAGCAAACATATCTGTAGCTTTACATTTTCACCATTTCTAATTTTTCTTGTTTCATGCAATATGATATTAAACATGTTCAGTGAACTTCCTAAACACTGTCTGAACTTCACAGGACAGTCTATAAATAAATAGAAATATATATATATAAATATAAAAAATAAAGCTTTCCAGCCAGTAAAATCATGAAAAAAATAGTGCGAAAAACAAAGAGAATAAACATCTGCTTTAACCAACTCGTTATTTTCTAGGAAAATCAAACTCACATCATCACCTGTGTTTGCCAATAATTGTGATTTCAGCTATAAGAGAGTTGTTAAAGAGAAAACAAGTGAAGAAAAACACTAAATGTGTTTAAAACTGCAATTAAACTTAATGAAATAAAAATAATTTTATGAATTCAGTGCTTAGAGCCACATTATATAAATTTAATTTGTGATAATCTTAAATTTAATCTGCAGACTGTTAGATATCACGAGGCACAGGGAGGACGAGGTGAAACTGATCTGTGAGTCAAACATAGCTGGGTCCAGAGATTTATTTTACAGAGACAGTACCTGAGAAAAATATTACGTTAAATATTACATCTTGCTTTGTAAACCAGGTAGAAGCAGTGGCAGCTTTGTGATTCATTTGCAGCCGTCTCCTCTGTTGACAGCAGCCGTGTGTGTGTGTGTGTGTGTGTGTGTGTGTGTGTCACTGAATGAGGCAGTGAGTCGGGCTGCTTTAGGAAGGGGGAGGGGCGCACTGCACCACTAGCGGAGGGGAGGAGGAGAAAAGTTCTCTCGTCAAAGCTTCGTCTCTAAAATCACCAGGAAAAGTCGCCAGTCTCTTTTTGGGAAAAAAATGGCGCTAGAGGGATCTAAGTTAGAAAATCTTGTTTTAACATATCGCGAGTTAAGTTGGGCACTCATGGCTATAGGTGGCCGGATGGCACCACTCTCGCCTCCTGTGCCTGTGCCCACCCCTCAAGGTTTACATATAGACACTTAGGGTTTTGGGTTAGAGTAGTGGTGGAGGGGAAACTGGCACCACGCCGGCCTCTGCCTCTTCTTCTTTCCCTTTTTAATTACTCTATAGAACAACGTGCACCAACAGTACATCTGGGGGTGGGGGTGTGTGTGTCACGGTCTTTATTCCCATCCCGTTCCCCGACTGCCATTTGGGGAGGGGGTCCTGAAGAAGGGCGGGCCGCCGGGTGCGGTCCTGGGCTGTGGGTGGGCTCGGGGCTTGGACGGTTGCCGGGGGCGGGGCTGGCTCTCCATCCTCCCTGGTGCTTCTTGGTCTCCTGAGGTGTGGCTCTTGGTTCCTGTGGGTGGTCCCCTGGCCGGGGTGGCTGCCGGGTTCCGGGGGGTGGACGGCTGTGGGGGTGCACTTGGTCGTTGGAGGTGTGGTGGGGTGGTCATGGGAGTGGCTTCTCTGCGGCGGGGGGCTGGCCGGGCGTCCTGGTGCGGCCCGGGCCGGGCCTTGGCTATCTGCTCCTCTCCACCTCAGAATGATTGGGTCTACCTCCTGGGTTCGGATGTGTGCTGCCTCCAATAGGGGGTGGGTGACTGGTGACTGCCTGCTGGGGCTCGGGACCTCTGGACCTGTCAGGCTTTGGCCTGGAGGGGGTGCGCCCTGGGGGCCCGGACCTCTGTGCCCTTTCTTGGATCTGCTCTGGTATGGCGGGTGCCGGTGGGGCCCATGAGTTTGTCGCTGCTGGCCCCGGGGGCTGTGCATGTGGTCACTGGGGGGACTCTCCCAGTTCTCCCCTATGGTCTGATCTGGGGGGTGGGTGGGCGGATCTTCCCGTGCGGGTGCCCCTTGGGGCTCTGCGCTCGGGATCCCTCTCGGGCCCTTGGGCTCTGGTCTTCCCTATGTCTGCCTCGTGTCTTGGGGGTTGGGTCTCGGTCCTCCACAGTCACTATTAAATATTCCATTGGAGAAATCTTGTATATACACGCATGTTCACAACTGCTCACAGACAGGTGCTCTGATCCGGGGGGTTCTGACAGGTCACTGAGTGTGTATATACTGACAATATTTATGAATGTAGGCATGTATGTATGTTTATCTTTATATATGTATGGGTTTGTGTATATATTTATATATGCCCTCCATGTATTTATCCATTTATTTTTCAGGTGAGCGGACAGATGTTGGGTGTCTGGTCCTGTGTTTTGTTGGTGTATATTTGATATACTTCTTGTCGCTATTTCAATCTTTCTAATTACTTCTCTCTCTGTTTTTCTCTCTTTCTCTATTTTCTCTTCACTTAAAAAAAGTCACTGATGATGAAGAAATAAATAAACTAAATAAACTAATAATATTTGGTTTCGTTTTCTACTGAAGTGACACAAAAAAAAACCATATCGCGAGTTTATCGCAAACGCGATTAATCGTTCGGCCCTAATAGAAACTTTGATTACAAACAGTAGTGTAGAAAACAGCACGCAGAGCCAGGTTTAAACAGAGATCTGGTCAGCAGCTTACTGTTCGTGTTTCGCTGTCCTCCCTCTCAGGTGCGGTCTTAACCAAGACAGATGTAATCATCCCCACCATGTCAGGTGAGGGCACGGTGTTTTCAGCTATCACCTGAGGATTCTCAAAGTACCTGGCCTGAAGGGAGAAAAGAAGAGGTGAGGCAATGATGATTTCATTAATTCCATTGTAACAAAAACTTTACATGGAGTTGTACTTACAACAACTTTAGAAAGATCTTTATAAATCTGCTTCACAAAGTCCAGAAAGTGGTGAATCTGGCAAAGAATTAGAGAAAACATGTTGAAAACTCTCCTTTTCTTAATATAAAAGAATTGTTTCTGAACTATTTAAAGTCAGCAAGAATGCGTGTCATCTTAATGAAAATACAGACAGTTTCGAAGCATGCTGAAACTAATGCAGAGATGCTCACCTCCTGAGAGATTGGAGGGCGAAACTGTTTGTGCAGTTCAATAATGATCCGAAGGCAAATCAGCACATTTTCCTCACTTTCAATCTGAGAAATCAAATTATGTGAAAACATAAAACCATGCAACAGTTCTGCATTTAAAACATTAAGTTAAGAGGATTATTTTTTTTGATCGTACATCAACATAACAAAAAAAGAAAACAGACACCAGAAAACGATGACCTCCACATATTTCACTGTTATCTGCAACAAAACCAGCGCATGTAACATGTTGTGTTTGAAGAAGAGAACTCGTACCTCCAGGAAGCGAAACATCACTGATAAGATGTTCTTGGTGTGCGGACGAAGGTGTTCGTTTGTTGGGATGCGGTGGATGATTTCGAGCACCAACTTTCTCAATTGCTGAACCAAAAAAAAATTAAATAAATAAATAAATAATTAAAAAAACAGGAGAAAAGAGCCTCTTAATGCCAGAGTGATGCGAACTTTAATCAGTTCTTGTGATTTGCTGTGATGAATACCAGTAATTGGAGCAATAAATACTTCATTCACAAGTAGTCAAAAAGTAAAAGGTATTATAAATGAAGACRAATTTCTGGTTCTCCAAAATACAATTTCCAAATAAATTGCTTCAATGGACATTTTGAACCCATTTACGTTGAAACAGCTGTACACTTTATATGAATTTATCATCTGCATACTTCAACTATGAAAATATAAAAATGCTTTGGTTTGGTATGCTTTTGGCTGAGGTTCTTTGTGACAGGAAAGTTGTATAAAACATAACTGTAGCATATGGATAACATGGGTTAAAGCAAAAAAAAGACCTTTTGACTGAATTTTTGTCCTTTCTAATTGGAACAGAGACTCTCACAGTTGGCGCTCCTTCGTGGCAACGCTCTGTCACTGGGAGAAGGGAGAATCGGCTGGTAATGTTAGTGATTCGGTAGTTTCTTTTGTTTTGCTCCAGACAACTTGTTAGAAGCTAACGTTAGCGCTGAACATCAACCGAATGTAAACATACAGCAAGCCAGGGGTGACACGAAATACAGAAACACACAGGCACAAGACGCCATCGAGGGGGGAAAAAAATCAATCTCATGCCCTACAAATTTATTTTCCCAAATTTAAATGAAATCAATTCATAATCAATTAAATATTTTTTTTACCCAGCCCTATTCTGAAGTAGTTTTTATTTTAGGGCGACAAGGACCAATTGGAGATGGTCTAAATGCCGCTTCTGACCCTCCAGCCATGTGATTTTGAAGTGTGGTCTAAATGTTTTGAATCAGAAGCTGACAGACCAGACCTAAAATATGAGKATCGATGTGATCATTGGGCCTCATGCAAGAACCGTTCGTACGCACAGATTTGTTCCTAAATTGTGCGTACGAGTGATTTAGGAGAATTTGTGGCATTCACCAATGTTTTCGTATTCTACGATTTTTTTCAGATACGAACAAAATTCACGAGTGGTCCAGACCTGTCGTATATTTTACGAACAGCCAGTCTGCTGTTATCCAGACGGGTTTTCTTCACTAATAACTTTATATTTCGTTAGTTTGAAGATATTTTGAGTTGAAAATAAATTACACTCCATAATTATGTTGACAATAAGTTATTCTGCTTGAATTAGAGTTATAATTTTAAATGTAATAATTTAGACTAACAATATAAATTGTTCGTTCGTCCGTTTTCTGCCGCTTATCCGGGATCAGTCTCGGTGGCAGCAGCAAAGAGACCCCCCTCTCCCCTGCTACACCTTCCAGCTCGTCCTGGGGGACTCAAGACGTTCCCAGACCAGAGGGGATATAGGATCAAGTCCAGGATTTTCTCCAAAGTGCCAGACTTATTTTGAAAACATTTTAAAATGCTTATTTCAGACCCGCATCTGAGACCACCTGCGCCGCGCAGCGCGCTGGGGGGGGGTACGGTGCGCAGCGCTGTGTCTTCTGAATAAATGAAAATGATTTAACACAGTTGTTTATACTTTTAGCAACTCTTTTTATTCCACAGCTGAGCTGCTAAAAATGACAGATTTTCTTTTCTGGATCTCTGACAGACGGACTTCAATCTCTGAACTCGTAAAGTTTTTCTTTTAAGTTTTCGCTGCCATTTTCATGAATGGACACTTCCTGATATCTGAGGCAGGAATCATAGCCTTATATGGTGTTTTTGGGGTGATAATTATGCTAATCTCCTCTCGCGTGCACAAGCAGCTGGATAGAACAGGTGTAATTTACGCAGCTCATTTACACACTTTTCCTGAAGATAGAAGAGTTTGTTGAATCTGACGTGACATGTTCGTACGAACCCTTTGTACGAACAAAAGTARGAGAAATTTAGGATAARAATACGAACATGTTCTTGCATGAGGCCCATTGAACCTAAATACAAATAAATACTTGGTTTGGCTTAGTTGGTTTAATCTTTGAGAAAATAAAATAAAGACACTCAAATGTGTGTGTGTTAAACCCTTGAAGGAAATAGTGGTGAAAACAGCACTCGTCACATACCTGAGTAGGTTTTTCTTGGAGAAACTGCACCTCTCCATCCTGAAGGAACGTCAGGAAGCGAGGGATTATGTGTTCCAAGAAGGTGGAGTACTGAGGCGAAGATGTCACGTTCTGAAAGCGATAAGACCAAGACGTTTTTAGATTCTAAACCAAAACAAGAATTGTTGAAGTGAAACCTAACTTATTACCAACATTTTTATGTTTTTAAACCAGGTTCCTAAGTGTACCAGAATCAGTAATTTCTCAAGTTCAAATTACTCCTCCAAAACATAGTTTGCTCCATTGACTTGGATCCACAAAAACCACCGACAAAATGTATCATAATCCATCTGCAGATGCGTGGAAAACGATTCCACTCCATCACACGGTGAAGGCATTCGTCTAACTCACCTCAAAGTTCTCGCTGACCTCCTGCATCATCTTCAGCTTCGTTTCATCAGCTGGAAGTTGAAGGACAGAGTGTTGCCATTAATCAAACCGCCTGAGGGATACAGTTCCACTCTTCAGGGCTGTCTCTGCGTGCTCAGCAGGGGCGCTCAGATCTTATCAGTTTCACTTTCAGCGTCCAGGTTAATCAAAAGGTACACCGAGACACACACTCAAACACGCTCACACAAACACGCACGCTCGCACACGCTCGTACCTTTGACTGGACTAAAGACTCATCGCTCTCATCACATCGCCCCACGCTAAGCACTGAGGTTCCAGATTTAATTTATTGCACATTTTAACTTGACTAAACCTTGTGAAAACCCCACTAAACTTTTGAAATGTTTTAAATATTCATTATCATCTAATCGAAATGATCTCGATCATCCCCATGAGCCACACCTCATGACTGTGGGTGAGGGTTAGAACATAGATGAACTTTCTATTTCATTCTTCACCACAACAATAACTCAATTAATTYTGCAATTATAATAATGATAAATAATGCATAATAATTTGTAAGAAACCCTTTACAAAGTGTGAAAATAAAGACATAGTAACAGCTTTATGAACCTATAATAATTTATTACTTAAACAAAAGCGTTCCTGTTTTTCTTTTCTTCATTCAAAATGCATGTTTAAAAATGCTGTCTATGCAAATGTAAAACTTTTTTATATAACTGACCACTGAGTTTTGAACAATGTCATTGTTAGTGAACTTACGTGTGTTTGTATCTGTGAGGGCGGCAACAAACTGCAGGTACTTCTTCATCAGAGTGGTCTGGTCCACCACTGTGGGACTGGGTGCGGGTACAAACGCCATGGTGGCAGCGCCGCGGGGACAGACTGAGCAGCAGCCTGCACTGATCTCTGTGGTCACTACAACCTCATGTGCTGTGGAAAGAAAAGAAATGAAATTAAAAAGGAAGAAACCCAAGCCCATTTTGGCTTAAAAAAAAGACATCTTGAGGCTCGTCTTGAGTTATTGCAACTTTTGCGGCTGTTGCTCAATTCAAATAAACTAAATTAGGTAACTGTCCAGACTGCAGCCTTTGCGCAGGTCAGACACATCAGTCGCTCAGACAACTGCTTACAGGTGTGCTTGTTATTGTGATTTATTAGACTGATGCAGATTTCTAAAACAAGCCTAATTTAAGCCAAGATGTATGGAAGTAGCTCTGATTTTGTTTTGCATGTTTTAGAACTATGTTCAATTAAATCAGTTTATGATTCTGGTAGTTTTATGGAGGGACAAAATTGTTTTTTAAAAGGGTTGTGTGTCCACACCACTGATGTACGTTGAACAGACCTATCATAAACTGCCACCCAATGGGCAACCAGTGTAAGTGCACCACAAATTTCTCCAAACAGCTCCAAAATTAAATTTTCTTTAATTTGCATTTAATCTCATTTTTTCCCATTTTTTAAAAAAGGGACTATATAAACAAACCTGAACTAAAAATAACAAAATGCTGTGAGTCAAGTCTGTACGAGATCAGGAAAGCCTGCGATGTGCGATAACACAGCTTAATATTGCGATGACGACATGACTTCAGATAAATGAACATTTGACGTCTTTCTGCTCTGGATTGAGAGCAAAGAAACAACAACTAATACATCATTTTCATTCCAACATGACAGTGTTTTTTTAATACAACTGGACACATCTGCTGCTGTGGTATCCACGAAACAACAAACTGATTGCAATACAGTTTCTAAATAACTTTAAAACATCACCCCCCATTAAACAGATGCTTCAGATGCTCTAAATACTGAAAAATTGTAAGTAAGAGAAATTTAGGATAAGAATACAAAAATGTTCTTGCATGAGGTCCATTGTCTCCAATGACCAAGTGGTTATGATTTGATGTGGTGCCTCAGGTCCCATTTATCAGACTGATACTGACAAAAGGCATAAATGCAAACCCAACCATTGATTTGTTTATGCAGTTTTTTGCGATGCGCCTAATGCACAGGCTGTTATTGTGATAATGACAATTTTGCAATATATTGTGCAGCCCTACGGACAATCCTACTTTTGTAGATGGTCCATGCAAACTACAGCTTATTATTGATGTAAATAAACGTGTTTGCATTACTATACTTTTAAGTTGCAATTACAGTTGCATTGTTTTGCAGAATAGATTATGTCATTTTCACTTAGATGAATGTAATGGAGTTAAGAAAAAACCAACAGGATAAGTTACAATCCAAGTCAAATGATATTATGCTAAATATATTAAAAACTATAAGCACTTGAAAAGCCCACAGACCCTAAGGTCGCTCACATAGGTGATCCAGATCATCACCAAATTTTAACTATTTGACMTTTGTGACAACCTCAACAATTCATGACAATTTCATGAAAATATAATTTTAAGTTGTCTTGTGCTCAGACAGACAGAAGGACAAATTAATATAACCACAAACACAAATTCCTTGGGGGGAAGCAATGAATGGAAATCATAAAAAGAAGTACAAAAGCAAACAGTGACTAACGACAAGTAGATGCCAATACAGAAATGCAGAAACTAAAATTCTGAGAAAGCTGAGAATGTGCCACCTGCTATGTGGTAATATCCTAATTATTATGGACATTTTTATACCATAAACACAACAAAAATATTTAAGACAGTTGTAAGGAATCAAACCAGGTTAATCGTGTTTCCTTCAAAACAACAATTTTCAGGAGCTTTTTTTTTTTTTTTTTTGAAAACTTAAAAACTTATGTTGTCCATCATGTTAACATATATGAATTTTCTCAAAAGAGAGAGCTCAAACTACAGAACGGATTTATAAACAGATCCAAAAACAACATACCGATCAATAGACGCACAGTGATGATGTCATCAGGAATCGGCTAGCACGATTTTGGTAACTTCCAGCAGTATTTAAACATTTATAACAACATTTCGGCAAAATATTTGAAAAGCTCAATTCTTATTTTGCCTTCCTCGCTCATTTATTCGCTCAATAAAACATCAAAGCTTATATATTAGTTTTGAGGGATGCAGGGCAATCATTAGCAAACAAGCTAGCCTTTTCAAAGAAAAAAGCGCTCGTGCATCTTACTACCGGCTAATTAAAAAATAAATAAACCAGGTACTGGTCACAGAAAATTAGTTCTAACAAACATTGCTAAAACCTAAGTGCACCAAGGAAGCTTCAGAATACACCTGATGTTTCAGCAAAGTTTAAAAGACAAAGCTAACCTTGTGTACTTACCACAAGCTACCGACAGGAAACAGTCTGTGCTGTGTGTCCGCCGCGCTCGCTCGTCTTGGAACCCAAGTATAAATGTGAAACATCCCTCCGCGTGTTCCTCGTCATATCTTATATCTAAAAGTAAAAATACAACATATTAATATTCAATAGAGATTAATAAACACATAAAATCGAGAAGGTTTATGTTTGGGTGCTGAAAAGAGATTTTATTTTTCAAAATGTCTTAATCTAGTACCGGCGCATTGATACAAACTGAAAACAGAGGTTATAAGACCATCGTTTTCGATGGTCTTCGTCCTTTCGTGATTCCTGAAAGTAAGCGAAAAAAAAGGTGAATATTTAAATTACAATTAATAATAAAACATATAATTACTATAAATAAACAGATTTTTTATATACTGAATTTGATCACATTTGTGCAAACAACTGAATTTTAATATTGATAGATTTAAGTGAGAACAATGTGTTCAATTATCATTACAAAACGTGTGCAATTTTAATTTTAATATCAAAGTTTAATTTTTTTCACAACGTTTTGAAATTATTCATATGTATATATATATAAAACTTCACTGTGCATTGCATGAGAATATATACCAAATTTACCACCCAATTGCATTCTGCATTTTTTTTCTAAATATTATTCAAGTTTGGGATTTAAGTAGCCTATTATGTAGGCTAAATTTTACCAGGTAACTAAATGGCCTAAACATGTAGTTTGAAGGCCAAATATGAATTAAATTAGTCTATATTGTGGTTTAGGCTGCTTTTACCAGTAGATGGCAGTCCACAGAGTGTGAAGCATGTTGAATATTGAATATCACTAGAGTCAGCCCCCACCYATCCCATCTACTGTTAAAATAAGCAACAACACAGAAGAGTAAAAATGATGACAGCCCACAGCCATCATAACAACTGTTTGACTAACAGCAAGCCCAACTGGATCTGTGCCTTAAATTATCTGTAATATTTTTACTATAAATCAAGAATAATGTTAATTTCATAAAAAATATGTAAAACAGATAGATAGAAAAAACACTTTATATATAACAATGATAATAACAATGATATATAACATAAATATATAATGATATATATAACAATGATTTATAAATAACAAAACATGACCTGAAGTCAGTCAATAATTTAAACATTTAGCTAGTTAAAAAAACTATAGTATTAAAGTATATATTTATGCTGTCATAAATAATAATAAAAATACCAGTCAACACTCATTCACTACACACCCAGCGAAGGCGGCGATACTTGAGGATCTTGTCTTTACTGATATTGGCTAACCATCTTCTCAACAGGTCAGGTTTGTCTAAAAAAACCTAAAAATAGAGAAATATGTAGTATTATTTTACCCTGTGTGAATATTACATAAACTCGAAGGAGACTAGCTTTTAATGTTTGATAACTTGTGTTAAAGAATGCTACAACAAGCTAATATCCACTAACCAATTCAACAATCAACAGCTTATTTTAATTTTAAACTGTGACATTATTATCTTCAGTTCTGATCAGATCACATCCATATTAAGTTAACTAATATTAAATCTGCTTACGTGTGGAATAAAAAAAATGTTTTCCCGATTCTCTTCTGTTGGTAAATCCATAACACACACAACTCTCTGATGTTTTTACACACATTAAATGACACACATTCTAAAATCTAATATTAAATGAAATGTTGTAAATGATTAACTAAATGTTGGATRCAGTTTTATATTTTTGTACTTTCTGATCATTGCAGCCAAAAGGCCATAAAAGACAAAAAGTTGGTGTGTGTGTGTTGTCACGTGTTCTTTCTTTTAGCCTAAACAAAAATGAGTTACGTTCTACATCTGACGTAAAAGGTAACACCTCCAGGGGTGTAACCAGGAAGAGAAATACATTATAAGATCAATTCATTTTATAGAGAAGTTGTTAGTTTTGGAGTTCAGACTGCTGTGCTGTTTTGTTTTGGGTTTTCAGCTCAAGGCCTTACGCTGAGGCCTGTGCTGAGCTGTATGAACCTGATTGGAGTCAGAAATTAAGAATAAAGTTTTTAAGAAGAAATCCAGTAGATTYCTGTTTTATTCAGACATGCCATTTTAAACAACACATTATTTCTACAATATTATTATTAATAGTTTTTTACGCTTTCTACAAGGTCCTTTTTTTCTTGGTAAATCCAGACTTTTGCATGTTCTGCTTAGCGCCTTGGCTTAGTAGAGCACACAATCCATGGTGTAAAGTTGAAATTTTCTTTTTCCATTTTTAGAGTATGAAATGCAAGTGAGGAGTTTTTGAAAATTATTATTCCTAAAGTAGAATGTGTTATTTTCTTTTATCTCAGTATGATGGTAGGATGAAGGAATAATTTTGAGCTTTGGTTTTCTCCATCGAGGTGCATTAAGGGTTTAGAGAGGAAAGTATAATTTAAGATATTTTCCTGGAGGGGGGGGGGGAGCAAAAACATCTTAGTAATCATTGAACAAAGATAACTATTTATGTCAATTTGGCAACATCAACAAACATCTTTGTGCCATTAATTTGACGTTTCTTAAGCAGACTAAAAGGTACCTGAGGCTGATATATTGAGATGCTCTCATTGATTTCCTCAGCTGTGTTAAAAACACC